CGGCGGCGGCGGGCAGCATGTCGGGGCACAGCGCGTCCAGCTCCACGGAGCGCAGGTCGCGGTGCGTGAGGTTGTCGGGGCTGGCGCACAGCACGTCGCCCACCACGATCACGGAGCTGATGGTCTCGATCCACTGCTTGAGCGGCACCAGGTCGCACGTGCAGTCCCAGGGGTTGAGCTTGAGGTCGATCTGCACGATGGCGTTGAGGTGCTCCAGCACGCCGGCCACGGGCAGGTAGAGGAAGTGGTTGTTGCGCAGGTTGAGCCTGGCCAGCGAGGTGCCCGCGAAGGCGTCGGTGGGCAGCGTGCGCAGCAGGTTGTCGTTGAGGAAGAGCAGCTTGAGGTTGGGCATGAGGCTGAAGGCGGCGGGCTGGATCTCCCGGATCAGGTTGTACTCGAAGTACAGGTAGTGCAAGCTCTGCAGGCCCCGGAACATGCCCGGCGTCAGCCTCTCGATGTCGTTGCCGTTCAGGTAGAGGCTCTTCAGGTTGGGCAGGTTGATGAAGGCCCCGTCCTGCACGTAGGAGATCCGGTTGTTCCCCAGGTGCAGGAGATCCAAGGAGGAGAAATTCCAGAAATCCGAGCGGTAGATCTTCTGGATCAGGTTGCCGCTCAGATACAGCTTCTTGGCGTTCAGGGGCCTGGGCAGCAGCTCGGAGATGTTGTGAAACCCTCGCTCCTTGCAGTTGACCGTCAGGCCCAAATCAGTGATGTGCAAATTGCAGGAGCACCCGGTGGGGCATATGATGGGGATGGGGGGCCTCGTCTGGTAGGCAGCGATGGGAGGCTGGTTGGGCCCGGGGAACAGGCCTCGGGACGTCGGCGGCGGTTTGGGCGGCCGCGGTTGCTTGGTGGGCTTGGGCTGCTTGTTGGAGGTTTTGTACTCGACAGAGGAAGCAGTGAAATGGAAGGAGGACAGCATGGAGGAAGGCTTGGTAGGCCACGCGTTCTCCTTGCTGGATGACAACTGAGGAATCCCCAGGCTGGCCTCCACCTCCGAGTCAGACAGCATGGGGCAGAGTTTGCTCCTTTTGATCTCCCTCAGGTCCTTGCCATGGAAGTGGAAGGGGGTCTCGCAGGTGATGTCTCCCACCAGGGCGGTGTAGGGGATGCGCTCCAGCCAGCTCTTCAGCTGCACTATCTCACAAGTACAGTTCCAAGGGTTCTCCTCCAGCTGGATCTCCATGAGGCTCCTGCCAATATGGTCCAACATCCCTCGGTAGGAAAGGACTTTTAACCTGTTTCCCCGCAAGTCCAAGTGGGTTAAGGACACAGATTTGAACAGGTTGGTAGGAAGCATGGGAATAAGGTTGTCGTTTAAGATCAGGACCCTCAGTTTGCTCAGATTTCGAAATGCCCCGCTTTCAATCCGTTTAATGACATTGTAATCTGCCTGCAGATATTCCAGACTTTCCAAACCCAGGAAAGTGTCGTTTCTGAAAATGTCTAATTTGTTCTCGTGGAGGTACAACCTCTTCAGGACTCGGAGCCCATTGAAAGCTCCTGTCTGAATGTCCTGCAGTGCATTGTTCCCAAGGTTAATAGACACAGCATTGTTCAAGTGAAGAAAACTGTTGGTGTACAATTTCCTCATGGAATTCCTCTGCAGATAAAGTTTAAAAGGTCTTGACCACGATTCCGTTATCTGACTAATATTTATAAATCCTTTATTGTCGCAATGTATATGGAAAAGGCTCTCTTTCACTTCACAGTAACATGGATCAAAGCAGGGCTCGTCGATCTCCTCCGAGTCCTCTATCAAGGGAATTGGTGTAGTCCATGCTAGAGCAATTGTGCTTAGAAGAATTATCCACAACATCCTTCCCCTATGGAGAGTCTCTGCCGTGGAAGGTTTCATCGTGTGTGGCTGATTACAAAACTGGAACAGAAATAAAAATGCAGATTTTCAGTATTTAGTCACGCTACTCCTTTTAATAAGCCCAGCTAGACTTTTATTAGGCTCCTGGAAAGTTGCTGGGGAGAGGTTCAAAACAAACTCCAGCATGTTTGATGTTCAAGGCTTGTCCTGATTTTAGGCTTCAGAGATATTGAAATGTTTAATCATGAGATGCCATCCCCCCCCCCTCCACATGCCACTGGGTAAATGGCACATCTGATGAAAACAGCATACAGGTACCATACAGCAAATGGACTGATAGGCTGACCGTGTGACATTTTTTTTCCCGACATAAGACCAATATTGGAAACAACACATCTTTAATACTTGTTTGCAGGCTCACCTTCGCACCCCTCACAACCTGCATCGACTATAGGGGAAAACACTGGCGGGCATATTTCATTAGCATCCCTCGGTATCCATCCATCACACACACACATGCACACAAACTCCAAAAGTTATTAAATGGCAATGGTCAAATATCCGAGGCATCCCCTCCGTGTGCTCTCTGTGGAAGTTTGTGGGAATGTGCAAGCTTTGCTGATGTCTCTGACATAACGGTCTCCTTTAGAAATTCTCTCAGTGTCTTTAATCATAGGAAATGGTTAACAACCAGGATTTAAAAGACAATCCGGCCCTTCCCCCCCCCAACCCCAGCAAGCTGATGGATTAATGCAACTGGTATATTATCAGATAAATACATACCACATATTAGTCATTTTAGCTGATTAAAGCATTTAGAGATGATTAATCTTTCTAAAGCACATGCCCATGCGATCAGCAGATCTAAGGGGAAGTGACAGCTGAAGAGGCACCTCGGATTGAAAGGCTCACCCTGGTTTAGATGATGGTATTTTGTGCGCCCAGGACCAAGCAGGGGGCCCTGCTAAAAAGCTGAAAGTGGAAGAAAAATACCTTGACACTTACCAGCTGGGAAATGATCTATCCTACTGTATACGCTTCCGAAAGAAGACACCATTCTTCTCCAAGCAGATGAAACAAATACTGTACTAATGCCATGCAGCTCCCCAAGACACGGTTTCCCCCTGCCTCTCTCCAGATTTTTCAGGGGGATGGGGATTAATAACTGCTAATGATGGTAATAACAGTGATGGTGATGCAGCCCTCTTCCAGCCACTGAAGCAGCTATTACAATTGCTCCGAGGGATTCGCCGGTTTTAGTCCTAGTCTATCAATAGAAAAGGACGATTTTTCGCCTTCCCCCATGCACAATCGGAGAATTTTCTCCCCACCCCCCCACCCCCATGCCCAAACTTAAGA